TGCAGGAAATTGGATAAACGGGCAACAACAAATGCCCTTACAATCACCACCATTCTATTATCCTATTGATAATAACGTGTTAACTACTGTGGTTCCTTCTTTGAACCAAGTACAATATAAAGATAATGAATATGATTCAGTGATGCCCTCAAAAAGACGTGGTATTCTGAAAATAAGAAAAGAACCGACACAACGTCGGTTAGTTCATTTTATGCCAGAAAATTGGCAAAAAAAGACCAAACCTGATAATCGTGGTTATAAACCCGATCAGTTGAATAATACAGGTCGAAAACAAAAAACAAAAAAATCACCTGAAGAAGCTCATCTTGACACACTCCGTAGAAGAGCAGGGCGTCAAAAACAACGAGCAGCTTTACTTGAAAAAAGTAACAAATTAGATTGTTTCAAGGATAATAATCGGTTTACACTTCTTTCTGAAATAGATGATGACAATATAAATTCAGAGGCTGATAATCAAACTGAAGCCATGATAAATAATAATAATAATAATAATAAGATGGAACAGAAGACGAACTTGTCTAAAAAACAAAAAAATAGACAAGCTAGAACAACAACAGAAGTTCCGATAATTGATGAACATGTTGTTAATAATAATAAAAAAACGCGAGGAAATACCCAGCGTCAAATAAATTTTTCTGATTCTGAAAAAGAAGAAGAAAATTATGATAATAATGATAAATCACCTTCTTTAAATAAAGATAAACGAAAATGTAAAAGTTATTTACAAACTTTTAAAATTCTCGCTTATCTAAAAGATCGTGTGAATAAAGATAATAAAATAAAACTCGACATTAAAGATGTTTTCAATGAAGTTTGTGAATATGCAAAGTATACCATTGAAACATATGATAGTTGGGTACGTAATCATTATGAAGCCCAGGTCTGGCAACATATCTATGATTTAGGTAAAGAAAAAGATCATTGGGCTAAAGAAATAGTAAATATAACACATACACGGGAGGCTAAAGTAAATGTATCAATGTGTGAAAAGAAATTAGCACAATTGACATCGACATGTTTCGATGATAATAATAT